TGCGAGCTGGGTTAGGGTTAGGTGGGTCGCGGGTTGGGTTTCATGACACACGACACGACACATGTAGGGTAGGGTGGGCCGCGTCGTGGGTTGGCTCGGAGAAGTTGGACACACCAAGGTTAGGTTCGTGGGTTAGACGGGTCGTGGGTGGGTCGAGCTGGGTTCGTGGGTTAGAAGGGTCGTGGGTGGGTCGAGCTAGGTTTGTGGGTTAGGGTAGGTCGAGTGGGTTAGTGAGTTAGGGTGGGTTAGTGGGTTAGGTGGGTTTGAGTTGAGCTGGGTTCGTGTGTTAGGGTCGGGTGGGTTCGTAGGTTAGGGTGGGGTAGGCCAAATGGCTAAATGGGTTGTGTGGTGTTTTAATTTTTACAAAATTAACAATTTGATGGCTTGCTCAGTCGCTCTTAATTAAGATGCCTACGTATCCTTATATCATAAAATAAAGAATCAAAGCCAACGTAGTTCTTATATTGTACTTCTTTTGGATTTTGGGGGGAAGGGGGGCATGGACCTATTTTTAGAAAACTAAAATTTAATTTTGCAATTAAATTGTAATTTTCGAAAAACAAGTTGCCTACGTATCCCGAAAGAATCAAAGACCACGTAGTTCTTAGCGCACCTGATTTAGACTTTTCTAGCCACCCATGTTTGTTGCATCATCATCCCCGAAAGCTGCATCATCCGTTGATGACTCTAATATCATTACAGGATCATCTTCATCGTCTTCGTCTTCCTTTAAACCTTGAGTTCTTCTTTCAGTTTGATCCCAATCTTTCTTACAAACACAAATTTGAATGCTTTCCGGAGTTAAGCGAGATCTTTTTTCATCTAACACTCTTCTACTTGCACTAAAAGCAGACTCGGAAGCAACGGATGAAGCGGAAACTGCAAGTATATCTTTTGCAATTCTCGCCAATATAGGAAAACTTTTTTTATGTTCTTGCCACCATTTTATAATTTGAAAGTTGTTGTTGGTCTCATGTTGATATGACAAATAATCATTAATAGCAAGTGTTTAAGAAGATGATGATGAGAATGATGTAGATGCTTTGTGTTTTTTTTTTCAATAACTTTATCAAGAAAACCAAATCTAGAATCGTAAGTGCTAGTAGTAGTTGGTGTTGCCAAATCAAAACCATAAATATATGCATAATGATCATAAAGGTCTCCCAAAACAGATTTGCATTTGTTAATATATTTACTAACATCATAATCGATACTTAAACTTGTATAATAAAATTCTAAGAGATTTTCCAAACCTTCAGCTTTGACACCAAGGTCAAGAATAGCAGCAATTCCATAAATACTTGGAAATCACTAAAATAAGTATGCCACTTACGTTTCATGCCATCAAGAACGGGACGAAGTCCATCAATCTTCATATGCTCTTCAATGGTGTGAACAATTTTAACACACTCAATTATGACTAAATGAATGTTAGGCTCATAAATATAAGAGAAAATATGAGTTGCATCATCAAAAGCATTTAAAACATCACGAACAAAAGAAGCATTAGTCCAATGACTTTCGGTTAATAACTCAGTAGAATCAACACGAGTCTCATTGTAAAGTTGGGTCAAAATGTCACGATACTTTATAGCATCATTCAACAAATTGAAAGTAGTATTTCAACGGGTAGGGGTATCAATAGACCATTGTCTTTTCTTAAGACCTCTCTCTTTACACATAGCTATGTACTTTCTTCTAACTGACTGAGTAATCCTAATCCATTTTATAATTGTTATAATTAGGTTTAGCAATGGTCGCAACTCAGCGAGACCCTCTTGAACAGACAAATTCAAAATATGAGCACAACATCTAACATGCAAGAGACTACCACCCAACAACAAATGCAACTCAGAGTCATTTTTCAAATAGCCAATATACTTTGTGTTTGCAGTTGCATTATCAAGAGATAAAGAAAAAACTTTATTATTCAAGTGAAATTCTCTTAAACAATACAAAATACGAACTTTGATGTTAAAACCGATATGCCTTAGCTTGAAAACATAGTATACATTTTTTAATAAACCAATCATCATCCACCTAATGAGCAGTAATGCAAAGAAAAGGTTTGCCAAAACTAGAAGTCCATGTATCACTTGTAAAACTAACACGACCATCAAAAGTACGAAATAATTCAATCAAACCACTCTTATACTTATAATAAGAAGTTTGTGTATAACGTCTTAGGGTATTTCGGGGGACACGAGTAAATGCAGGTTGTAATGCAACTTTATTAAAATGCTCAATGTTTGCATTTTCACCGTAACTAAAAGGGTATTCATTAGCAATAACTAAAGTACTCATTTCATCAATCATTCTATCTTTATTATAAATGAAAGGTGTACCTCTGCCGGGTAAATGGTTCATGTATCCACCAATTGTGTTTGGACGGGCAACCCACCCCCCAAAAGATGGGGACCATTTTCGAACAAGTCGTGTTTATTTTGCAAATGCCGACTCAAGGTTCCGGTTCCATCTTCCATTTTCCAACTATATGACTTGACATTTGCACCTAGAGCCTTGCAAACTAGGCATGTACACGTGAACCTCTTTAGTTGACCGGGTTGCCATCCCAGTGGTGTGACCTCAACTCGTTCAACATGTTTCCACAACCAAGAAAATGGTGCTCGACCTCTACTTTCACGCTATTCATGAAAATAAGCTTTTAAATTTTAAATATTTTAGTTATAATTATTTAAACGCATTTTTCATGGTAATTATAAATCATAGAAAATTGGAAACTAAATTAACTTTATAATCATTAATAATAGTTTTTTTAAATATTCATAACAATAAAAATTAAATTAGAAATTACCTTGAGATGAAGATTGAGATGTTGGTTGTGATGTTGGTTGCGATAGAGGTGGCATAGTTGAACTCGATGATTGGTGGGAGAAATGTTGTGGTGGAGACGTTTGAATATTTTGCCCATTTCCTAAACCATAATCTCCATATTTCATTGACAAATTGGTTTAAATTTTCCGTATTAATTTCATACGAAAAATTTGCACCACCACTCCTTTGGCCACCATTTCGACCACCACTTTGACTCCTTCCCATTCCTCCTCTTGAGCCCTTTTTTTTTTATGATTACTAATTATAATGTGGAGAAGAACTTTTTTTTTTATAGAATCTTAAGAATACTAATAATAATATTGAGGAGATTTTTTTTAACAAAAATAAAACTTTATATAACACTAAATAACACTTGAGAATTTGAGAACAATTAAGAATTTTTGAGTAAGAGAGAAAGAAAGCTTGAGTTGTGTGGAAATTTGAGTGAAATGGAATTGGTATTTATAGGAAAAGTTGAGGGGATGATCATGCAATACAAAAAATTAGCCAGTACACTAAAAAAACTAGTTGTTACTAACAATTAAAAGTAGCTATTAACTTTGTTCATCAAATTCATAAAAAAAAAGTAGCCGTTAGTTTTGAAAAAATATGAATATGGCTGTTAGGCTAGGCGGGCCGTGCAGGTTGGGCGGGTCGTGTGGGTTGGGCGGGCCGTGCGGGTTGGGTGAGTTGGGCGGGTTGAGTGGGTGGGCCATGCGGGTTAGGTGGGTCGTGCGTGCGGGTGGGCTGAGTCGTGGGTCGTGCGGGTTGGGCGTGCAAGGTGGGTCGGGTTAGGTGGGTTCATGGGCTAGGTCTGTCGAATTAAATGAGTCAAAACGGGTTGTGCGAGTTGGGTCGAATCAAACGGGTTAAAACGAGCTGCGTTGAAATGGGTTGTGTCGAAAATTTTGGACCCACGACACAACCCGGGTTATATCCGGGCTGTGCCGGGTTGGTACAGGGCTCAAACCGGGTCGGACCCACGTGATCCACCAGCTGTGCGGGTTAGGGTGTGCTGGGTCCAACCCGGCCCACTGGCCACCTCTACATGTGGCAGAGCTAAGAGCACCTTAATGAGAGAAAGGCCTCCTTACATCAGGAGGCCCAAATCCCGAGAAAGGCGCTAAAACGGCGCCCCCAAAGGACACTTGTCCTTTGCTTATTGCGCCGTCAATCAGAGCACACATTTTTAGGGCACTTACCCTAAAGAGGCACACATTCCCACCCCTATAAATACCCCAATAATTTATGATAGGAGGGGTGAATTGTGACATCTCATTTATTGCACAAGCATAAAAGCTCTAAGTTCTCTCTCTAAATTACTTCGTTTTCCGATCACTAACTTGATCGTCGGAGGCGAATATTCCGTCAAACGAAATATTCGTTGTTTTGCAGGTATTTAAGACCGTCCGACTATATTCAAGACCTGTATCCCGAGGGATTTAAAAAAACCCCGAAACACTATACAAAAAACTTCCATAGAAAGCTAAACTAAAGAAAAATATATACTGTAAAATAGAAGCAAAGACCCAAAAATATTACTACGTATGACTCATGGAGGTTTGCCGACAATCAAACAGAGGTGGAGACGCGAAATTTGATGCCCATTTTATAGGAGACGACTCGTGAGCCCGTAACAATAGATTTTATATTTTACCTTGTTGGAGCTTGATTTTTGTAGGATTCAAGTTTTATAATGAAGGTCTTGGACTAGGAAAAATTGAATCTCAATGTTGAATTTAGTTTTTACATTAATATATATATATATATATATATATATATATATATATATATATATATATATATATTATTTTTTTGTTAACTTGCATTGATATGAAATCATCATTTTTGTATGTTTAACCAAGGTTGTTTTGGTGGAATTTGAAGGCTGGGTTTTAAAGTGAAACGAGATCCATTATGAGTCAATTGGTAGAAGTTTTTGTTTAGGCTTTTACTTCCGTTTATTTGCTCATGCGAAATGTCATTTTTGGAAACTGAAACTTGCAACTCTTTGCTAATGTGCAAAATCATTGCTGTTGTAAAAAAAAAAAATAATAAAAAAAAAAATTATATATATATATATATATATATATATATATATATATATATATATATATATATATATATATATATATATATATATATAGTAATAAAAAAAAAAGGTGTGAAATCAATGGTTAAGATCCTCATGTGGTATAGTAGTCAAATGTATCTTACAACTTAGTTTCATGTACCACCTATCTCTCTATCAACGACCTTATATAAAGCTAAAGATATCACTCATGACAGATCAAATGAAATACTTTGCATCTAACAATTGGCTTGAACAATTTCTTCTCTATACATGCACACCAAGCAACCACCAAAAAAAAAAAAAAAAAAAAGAGTATCATATACAAATACAAGTAATACAACATCGAAGATAATCTAAAACCTTGAAGACATGCCAACAAAACTTATGTGCAACGATCATGAGGGTTTCTTCTTACGTCCGGTTTGTGATATTCGTTTTAGATCTCGAGTACTCCTTTGCAATCCCCTACAGAATGAATCTCAGAGCATTAACCCTATTGGAGAAGATTATGCTAGAAAAGTAGAAAAGGCTGCAGAATGTATGATTACCTCTGGTACAAATAAACAAAGCCGTAGAACAGTGGGAGCAGCAGAAAAATCAACACTGAAATGGCAACATAAAAAGCATTCGTCCGTTGCTGCAAATAAAAAATCAAGACAACAATTAGGGTATCCGTAAATGAATAAATGCTAAAGCCTTGTTGCTGACTTATGTCTGATGCTTAAATCAGTTCAGATGTATATTGACAGCAAAGTTCTCTTACAACTCAAATCTTTTCCTTTATAATTCGAGTAATAATAAAAGATGAAGAGAATAATAGGAAGAATAATACACCCAATACAAAGAAACACCAGCAAAGGTATAGTAATGTATTGTTCATCACTGCTCTTTCAGCAATTGCAATGAACAATAAACAGAATGCTTTCAGGCTCCCCTTTAAGTCTCTTTCCTAGAATAAGCAATATAACATCCAAAATAATGCCATAAAAAAATCTGAGGATTTTTCACCAAATGCCCCTGAGTTTTTTTTTTATTCACCATATACCCATGAAAATTTTCAAATTCACCGTATAACACTGAGTTTTACAAAAATGTCACAAGATACCCAAATGTCCGTTAGTCATTAAGGCTAAAATTGCCACATGGCAACATATTATTGGCTCTTTTAAAAAAATTAATAAATTATTAAATAATTAAAAGGAAAAATTCATGGGAATAATCCCACCTTTGGGCCATTCGTTTTTAATAATCCCACCTTTGGATTATTATTTAATAATCCGACCTTTGCCTTTAATTTTTATTGGTCCCAACAGGTCATGTAACCTGTTATAACAGGTTACATGACACGTGGCGGCTTGTAATTGGTCAAATTTTTTTTTAAAAAAATTAAATTTATTTAAAGAAAAAATAAAAATAAAAGAAAAAATTAATTCCCAAGCAACCACCCACCACCGAACAACCATCACAGCCCCACCCCCTTCATATGAAACCACCGCAACCCCACTCCCCCTTCACCTGAAACCACCCCTTCCACTCCCAAATCCGACCACCCCACCCCCTTTCCCTCCCAAATCCGACCACCCACCCCCTTCCCCTCTGAAATCCGACCACGCCACCCCTTTTCCCTCTACCTGTTAGCCACCGGTGACCAGCCCACGTTCCCACGTTCCCCCACCCTGAACAAATCTCCGACCACTGCACCGTCAATCACGCATCAAGCCCATCATCACCGTCAAGCTAGTGGTTGCTCTGTTCTTTAGCTTCACGCATCATGCCCATCATCACCGTCCATCACGAATTTCAACAAAATCAACGGTGGTGGGCGAAAATGTTGAAATCGGTGGCGAATTGCTGATTGGGGTGGCGAATTGGTGGCGTTGGCTGTGATTTGATGCGCAATTAGGGAATTGGTGATGCGGCGTCACGGCGAGGCTTTTATTGTTGGTGCGAGGAGAGACAACAGCAGCAAGGCTGCTATTCATGAAGGAGAAGGGAGTTGTGGTAAGGTGGGGTGGGGAGTTCAGGCTCGTTGGTGGGGTTTGTGGGAGTTTTTGGTGGCGGGGGTTGGCTGCGGTGGTTAGGAAGGGGTGGAACCGGGGCTGCAGAAAGGTTGGGTGGAATAAGGACCGGTTGGTGCCTTGGTGGGTGTGTGGGAGTTTCAGCCTGGTGGTGGGGGTTGGCAACGATTGTCGGGAAGAGGAGGGGCCGGTTTTGATGGTGGGGATGGGACCGGAGTGGTGCAGTGGTGGTGGGTGGAGCACTGGTGGTGTTTCGGGGAAGGATAGAGAAAAGAAAAAAAAATTAAAAATTTTGACCGGTTTAACCGGTTTCTGGTCAAATGAGACCAATAAAAATTAAAGGCACCCAAAGGTGGGATTATTAAAAACGAATTGCCCAAAGGTGGAATTATTCCCATGAATTTTTCCATTTAAACTAAAAAAATTTTTAAAAATAAAAAAATCACAACACCCCAGCCAGCCAGCCACGTTCCCCACCGTCGTCGCCGCCCAAACCACCCTATCCCTGCGCCGGCGACTCCCGCCGCCTCTCCCTCGACGTCCCCCTACCCCGAATTCACAACCCACCCCGAAACCTCCCTCACACTCTCCCAAAACCCTTAGAAAATCTCAATCGTCTCTTTCCCAATCGCCGCTAGGGTTTTCAAGGGTGGGAGAGGAGCGGTTGGGGTTTTATAGTGATTTTCATGGGAGGGAAAGGGATTCGGGAGGCGGTGGTTTAGGGAAAGGGAAAGGGAGCAGGGGGTTGGCGTCGGTGGGGTACGGAACAGGGCTGCTGGGGTTCTTTTGTTCCGGCACCGGAGCGGGGAGGGGTCGGGCTTGTGCTAAAGGAGAGAGAAAGACTTGTGTTTAGGGAACTCAGGGAGGGGTGAGGATGTCTCGCCGGCGGGAGTAGAGCCTAGCGCCGGCGGCAGGGGGTTGGCCGGTGCTAGAGAGGCTGGCAGTAGAGAGGGGGAAGGTGGGTGGTTGGCTGGTGGGGTTAGGGGTGGTGAGTTATTTTTTTTCGGAAATTTTTTTAAAAAGTTTTTTTTCTTAATTTTTTTTATAATGAATGAAATAATTAAAAAAACTAATCAGGTGCTGCCACGTGGCATAATTAGCCCTAATGACTAACGGAGTTAACCACCGTTAGTCATTAAGGGCATTTGGTGACATTTTTGTGAAACTCGTGGGTATATGGTGAGTTTGAAAAATTTCATGGCTATATGGTGAATAAATAAATTACTAAGGGGTATTTGGTGAAAAATCTGAAAAATTTACATGGCCTACCTTGCCACCCCTGGAGAAAGGTTTCTGACTTCTAGAGCAAGTGTGTGCATCACAGAACTGGTGCAAGAAAAATTCTGCAATTTTCAAGGACAAAAGCAAACGTAAGTTACAAAAATGGTAGCACAGAAAAATGTGTAAAACACCGGTGAAGCGAAATACCATGAAGACGACTGGCTGATGGACCTCCGGTAACAGGAAAACAAGTATCAGCAAGACTCTGCACACAAGTTACTTTTTATTAAAAGACAATGCATAAATTGTTGAATTCTACAGCTGGGAACACAAGTAATGTACCTCACATAGATGGCGATTTCTCACTGCTGCAGCTGGATTACACTTGGTCTTTCTTGGTTGCAAATCCATCACAAGGTCACAGTGTAATGCTCCGCACAAGTTTGCCAGACAGTTGCCTTCTGTCTTCAAGCATATGTTCAGTTAAGAATGGCGCAAATCAAAAACAGAAAATGAATCACATTGGCTATAGAATATGTCTATCAATTCCAAACAGAAAACTGAAAAGAAGCGATTAACAGGCTGTTGCATACTAAAATAGCAGTATTGACAAACTTATGTACCTTGATTATGGGCAAAGTAACAAACGCAAAACTGAAGCACATTTAAGTATTTAACAAGTAATGTGAACTGATATATAAATTCTTCAAAAGTACTGCAAACATACAGTACAAATCACAAACTGCAACTGTGACGAAAACAAGTTCCTTCAACATAAAAGCAGGCTTTTTCAAACGGGTACATCCATGAAACTTACACCATTCCATTAAGATATCCTGCATTTTGATTATGCTTATCTAAGATCCCATGTAGATACAATTCTAACCAGGGTTGCCTGAATTCACAAGCTGGCCGCTATATCCCAAATATCAATATATTTAATCTACATTTTGGTCCACCATTATAATGCCCAGATTCACTAAAGAGTCCGATTCATGTATGTAGGGGTGTGCAAAAAAACCATAACTGTTAACCGCTATAACCGACAAATTTTATAGATTAATTAACCGAATTAAACGGTTACGGTTAAGCGAACCGTTAAATGTAGCGGCTAACGGTTACGGTTACAGTTTTGAGTAAACGGTTAACCATCGTTTAACCGTTAAGATAAAAAAAAATATTTTTATTTACTTTTTTGAGGAAAAAATTATATATAATTATGTAAATTAACCCTAAAAGAATTTTTATCGGTTTGTATCCAACTAATTGGAACTTATTATTGTTTATATTTAATATGTATTAGGGTTGAAACTATTAGAAGACTAAAAATGTATTGAAGTTAAATTTAATCAATGGTTAACCGGTAACCGTACCGTTAAGAAACAGTTAACCGTTGCGGTTAACTGTTCCTTAACGGTGCGGCTACGATTCGTGTTTTTTAGTAACCGATCTAACGGTTAACCGTACCGTTAAGGCTTAACAGTACGGTTAACCTAATGTGAACAACCCTACATGTATGAGTCAAAATATATCACTTGGAAAATTCTCAATTTGAAGATGTTCGCACATGTTTAATAGTGGTCCAAGTTAGGATGTGAGGATTGGGGAATGACAAATGAAATTCTATTCTAAAATTAGTACAAATGAATGCTAATGTGCTTTTTTCCATGAAAGAAATGAATAACTAAATTAAATATGCAGAAAAATGTATTATGGTGCCTTGAATCATCATGAGAAAATGAGGATAATATCATACACTATTGTGCGCTTTTAAATATCTCAGTATTTCCCATCTCCTTCTCATTTCTTTTGACTTAAAAATGCCCAATCTCTCTTTTTGGAGACAAACCAGTAGTGACCACAATACCAGCACAAGAGTTTAAGCCAGTAGTGATTTCTCAAAGCTGGGATGCCATTTCACTCATATCATAATTTACTGTTCTAATAAGATAGTAGCCAAGAATTTCCCTGATACTCCTGCAGTAATGTATTTTATAAATGCGCAACCAGGAAGATTTGTGATAGGCTGAGGGAGGTGCTACCTGACTTAAGCTGAGAATGAGGGTGGCATTATTCATAGGGAATATATATAATTTACATAGTGAGCAAGGATTTAGAGAGGACTGAGGAGTTGTGGAAGGAAGTCAGCTAAACTCTTATAGATTTAACCTTGACATCATTGACATGTGATTTTACAACTGGATTTTCTTTGATAATAAATGGCTCGCTTCATGGTTTTTTTGAATCATATAGTATGAGGCATACAGAACAGACACTCTCCCCCTCCCCTCTTTGAGTGTCTGTGTGTGTGTTAGGCATATAGAACTCTCGTCCCCCCCCCCCCTCCCCTCCCTCCAAAGAAGATGAGATTGGTAGAATTTTTTCATTAGTCTTCTCGTTTATCTAGGAGTTCCATCCTCCAACAGCAGTCTCAACTTCATATTGTGAATGCTTGGCATAAAAAAAAAAAATTGACCACCAAAATTAAAGTCTAGAACTGACGAGTGTTTCATATTTATTTTATGCTTTTTATAAGATAAAAACGCAACAGAAGAAGCTAAAAACGAGCATCAAATAAGGGGGATTCGAGTTCCATTTATGGCACTCATCAAATTCCCCACAACTAAACTTTTGGGAGATGGGGTCTTTCGAGTCCCCCGGAATTTAGTGATTGGTCTCATATCTATGAGGCGGAAAAGGCGGCCAAGCTTGAGAGGGAGCGAGAGATGAAGGCAAACGAGGATAGCATGATTAATGAGTTTTTCAATATGGGTGGGGGAATTTCTGCCCACATTACCGACCTCGATTGATGTCCTTGTATGGCTATCCTCCCCTTCGCTATGCTCTACTTCTTTCATTTAGGACAATCAATTTCAAGCTTTGGGGGAGGGTGGGGGGGGGGGGGAGGGTTTGTCTATTGTAAGCTTGGGGGGAATTCTTACTCTTGTGGTCTTGATATTTGGTTGTTTTGAGTTATGTTAATCAAGTTTGTTGATGATAGTATTGATGATTGATTTTTGATGATTAGTGATTGTTGTTTGCTTTTTCTCCCATGTTTCAAATTCCAAATTATTATGCTCTTGATTGGTTTCTTGATGACTTTATTTTTCTTTACTTTTTCCTTTGATTTTTCTTTCTTAACTAAACTTTTTGTTTTGTGAATAGTTTGTTTATTCTTTCTTTTCTCACATTGTAGGTTGCGTTAGAAGTTTGGAAGTGGCTTGCAAAGGATGGTTTTCTTGGCATTTCTGACTTCTTTTCATTCTAATTCACTTCTTGTGCGGAGAGACCATTCTATTTTTCATTCCCTTTTAATTTTCATTGTTGGGTGTTTAGGATAGGAGTAGTATAGATTGAAGTTGAATGATTCGAGGATGTTTGCTATAATACCTTAAGGGTATTTGGGACCATTGGCGTTGTAGTCGAACGACCATTGTTTGTCGATTAGCATTTCTATGTTCATGCATGGGTCCCTGAATTTTTCCTCTTCCATGTTTTCTTTCTACAAAAAAAAAAAACCAAAAGATTTTTGTTAATCTCAAAGAAAATTTGCAATGTTCGTTTGTATTGTTCTTGCTTTGACATTTTAACCTTGGACTTGTGTTCTTGAATATTTTTCTTCCAACAAGGTAGTGGTTCTTACGCTTCTTGGGTTGACTCTAAGATATTGGATGCTAAGGTAATCATTTGTTTTTAGAACTTTGGGAACATGAAGCCTTAGTTCATTTGTTTGTGGTAAGATGGTATTGCTCTTTATATTGGATATGAAACCTAGATTTAGTAATTGTTATCCCTAGTGAGGTTTATTTCTTCAAGCCTTCATAATATTTTGTTAAGCGGCGCATTATTAGATCCTTGGTTATCGCATTCTCATATCTAGAATTTGACTTTTAGCTCTCAAGATCGCGACCAAGTCACTTTAAGGAAGGACAAAAGCATTTCTTCGCAGATTATAACTTTCTTTTTCTAGAATAGATTTTCTATTTTTGGGATTTTGGTTTACATTTGCCCTTCTTGCTAACCCCTTTGAGCTATATCCTTTCTTTTCTCTAGCACATTACAAGCCTTTTTACATTTTTGTTTCATTCCACACCTTTACTTTTTGTGAAGCTATTTGGTTTTTAGACTTGTTTTGTTGATTATCATGAAAAATATATGGAATTATGGGCTCAATTGCAAGCAAGTATGTGCTTCATAAATGTATGTGAATATAAGCATGGGAAAATGGGAAAAAGCCGTTCAAAAGTTAGAGACATGCGTGTTTTCTGTGGTCTTCTTATCCTTTTTACACATTTCTTTGCTATTCTATGGCTTTCCCTTTTATTTGACGTGTTTTGTAGGTGTGTCGGGTTATCCTAGGATTCAAATATTGAGGAGGAAGCTTGAAATAGCTAAGGAAGACAACATGACAAGTTCGATAAGTTAGAGCACAAGCAAGACATGTTTCAAGGCAAAGCATAACACTTGGGGCAAGTACCTACTTGCCCTAGGATTAGGAACAAAGTTCTTGTTTTGGGCAAGTTTAACCCCCGCGCCCGCGGCCACCAGCTTGTTGAGCTCCCTCATCAACGCACCAACCATACCGGCCTAGCAGCACGCAAGCAGCGGCATTACAACTCGCACGTTGCAGCCAAGATGGTCGGCATCTTGCCCGAACCTAGAAATGGGTATCGCGGGCAAGATACCTTGCTGCATCCGCGGCCACTTGACCTTCCCGTGATCCCTGCTCGGCTTTTATGCTTAGTTTTCTTCTTATTTTCTTTTAACAATAAATAGTATATACGTATTACTTTGTAACTAACTTCATTTTAGATCAAAATTTTTGAGAGAATTAGGCTAATTAGAGAGATAAAGTCTTGATTCAACAAGTTTTCTCCAAATTCCTTCAATTCAACTTTGAATTTCAATATTGTAAATCAAAGATTAGTGAGTATTCTTCTTAATTCTCATTTTCAGCATAAGTTTGATAGTTTGATCTTCTTAATTGTCAGATAACTCAGATTTCTTTTGTTTTGTTGAGAATTCAATTACTTGCTTGATTACTAGGAATTAGATTGTAGGATTCAAGTATTGATGATGATGATGCTTAAAATTGATCTTGCTTTCACATTAATCAAGCTTAATGAGTAGATTCATTGCTAGAGATTAGGGTGAAATATGTTGAATTGATCAATTTGAGCTTAATTTGGAAATTGGAGGATTTTTTATGGTAATTAAATTGATTGGATGAGGTTCGCTTTATGCTTATATTGATTGGATTGGCCTCCCTTGATTATAAACATGTTTGGATGATTGGATTCAATTGACATGGAAATTAATATTGACTTCATCATAATTGGTTGAAAATTTGATCATGTTTCTTCTTATTGTATTGCTTTAGAGGGATCTAAGCTATATAATATCAGGATGATTGATTAGATGCTCCTACTACTAGCTTGATTTGATTCATTATTTGATTTCCATAC